GAATACAAATGTCGACTTACGAAAATCTGGAGTTCACAGCTTAACGCTAGTAATAACGCCAAAGCCACAAATACTTATGCTGTACCACACGAAGAATCATGTCAGACAATAGACCCCACCATCTTGGCTCAACCCACAATTCCCTCAATCGCTCATATTTACTAAGTATAATGGGAGGGCGTGGTTTGATTGGAGGCTCTTCAAGACAGAAGTTTATTGTGCACTTTTGCACTCATTGTATTGTCTGATGGTCTTTTTGTGAAGAACGTCAGGATGAAAACAAGGCATTCCACAGTTTTTTCTTAAACGAGCCAAGGATGTAGGACACAAAGTCAATGTCATGTTGATCTTGTTGATGATTCTGCACTGCTGGATAGCACAGAAATGAGTGTCAACCAAGCAAAGCGACATATAAAATCGGCACAAGCCTGGTTTTGCAAGGGAATACTCTATGATCGTTTATGTGCAGCAACCCTGCAAAGAACTCGTTTGGATGAAGTAAAACAGAAGGCTTTCTGTCGCTGCTCAGGACCAGCACTTCCCACTCGAAACTGTCAATGTGTAATTTTGCATCAAAATGTTAATATGAAATATCAATAATGCAATGAATTTAATGAGACTGTCAAACACATTGTCAGTGGATGCCAAGCTTTGAAACAAACACAGTATGTTAAACACCAGGGTCCTAACAAGCAAAATACCCATGGGTTTCCAACTGGCCTCTGATTGGCTACTTCTCTGCCGGGAAGATCTTATCTGCCTGTGACAGATATAATGGCTGTAGATATACTACAGAATCATCACACCACAAAACATTTGCTAGAATACTCGAGTTCCATGCTGACACAGGAGGAAAGAAGTCACGTCTTCCTGTCTGGTTCATGGGTAGAGGCACTGTGCACAGGAGACGGTTTGCGAAACATGTTGCAGAATAGCTGGCAGTGGCGAAGATGTCTGTTGAAAGTCTAACGTTGGTTGGTTTGTTGTTAAACATCGCACTCAGCAATATTCCAGCTATATGACGGCGGTCTGTAAATAATCGAGTCTGGACCAGACAATCCAGTGATTAATATCATGAGCATCAATCCACGCAATTGGGATCGATGGCATGCATCAACAAAGTCAGCGAGCCTGACCACCCGATCCCGTTAGTCGCCTTTTACGACAAGCATAGTCACCTTTTACGGCAAGCATGGGTTGCTGAAGACCTATTCTACCCCGGAATCTTCACGGGTCGGAAATCTAAAAATTTTATGGTATGATTATATACTGATTGATGGCAATCATGTTATAATGGAAGGGTATCCGCAGAGTTTATCCTTGTTACTGACCTTGTGTCAGTTAGGACCATGGTCGTGACCTGTATTTCACACCAATAAGTTCCATAAAACTACACATACACAAAGAAGGAATGACAAAACAATAATCGCTGAATAGTTTTAATGTTTATTCTGACAAGAAACATACAGGGACTTTCTTAGACAGCCACAGAGTAGCATGTATCCACATAAAAATAGAGGACGGGAACTAAACTACTTAAAGACAAGACCAATTTAACAACTTGTTTCACTGGATTTTTTATCTAAATTAATCAGATTTTAGTGCTTGCTACCCAAAGATCCTTTGTGTGGTGATAGTGAGCACTGAGATCCAAATATAATCCTAAAATAACTGAAAGCAGGTTGGGTGGTTGGTTGGTTGGGTGGTTGGTTGGTTGGTTGGTTTGTTGTTTAACGTGGCACTCAGCAATATTCCAGCTATATGACTGCGGTCTGGATATAATCGAGTCTGGACCAGACAATCCAGTGATTGATATTATGAGCATTGATCCACGCAATTGGGATCGATGACATGCATCAACCAAGTTAGCGAGCCTGACCACCCGATCCCGTCAGTCGCCTTTTACACTGAAAGTAGGAGTAAACTAGGCATTAACACATATCTGTACAGACTTAAAAACGGACAGGCAGGTTTGTAAAGTAAAGTAGTTGGACTGGTCAGACCCAATTTAGCCATAAACACAAATCAACTTGAAGAGAGCTATCAGCAATGGATTTGTCTACAGATCAAGGGAGACAACCAGGGGTTCACCTCACCTTAGTATTTTGTACCATTCATTACCCAGTGTACTCCACTCCATTACCAATACCCTGGACCCGTTCTGGATATATTTGCCACCAGACCTTCAAGTTATGTCCTCTGTTCAATCTCTCTTATCACAAACAGAATTTCAATCAACAACAAATCAAAATGCCTCTTCTTAATGCAAGTTTGACACAGATATAACTTCAAAATCAGTCGGGGCACGGGTGGCCCAGCCGTCTAAGGCGCCAAACCTATGATTGTGGTTTCGAATCCCGGTTCACCCAGATTATGTTTCTAGGTTTGTCAGCCCCATACCTGTGCTTGTGGGTTTCACCGAAGTGGTAAACGTCTGAGACCTGCATCACTTCGGCTTTCCTCCCACATTAAGCTGACACGCCTCGATATAACTGGAATACTGTTAAAAGCGGTGTTAAACCCAATTCACTCACTCACTCACTCAAAATCAGTCTCTTCGACATGTTATCATGAGTATTTAGGTCGGGCAGGGATGGTCTTTTGAGGATTTGGCATTCCCATCTGTACTTGTGGCTGTTGTGCTTGTGGCTGTTGTACTTCTTGTATGCCACAAAGCCTGTTGAATACTTGTGATATCACCCTCTCTTGCATTCATTGATTGTTTTATTTGTTTGTTGTTTAAAGCCACACTCCGGTACATTACAGCTATCTGACCCCCAATACAGTGATTGACATGATGAGCTAGGATCTACACAATTCGGACATGATGTCATGCATCAACCAAGTCAGCAACCCTGACCACCTGATCCTTAGTCATCTCCTACAGCAAGCAAGGATTGCTGAAGACTAGGCCTAACCCTGATCCCTAGTCATCTCTTACAGCAAGCAAGGATTGCTGAAGACTAGGCCTAACCCTGATCGCTAGTCATCTCCTACAGCAAGCAAGGATTGCTGAAGACTAGGCCTAACCCTGATGTTTATGAGTGTTTCATTCACTGAAGTGCTGGGTAATTTCATGGGAACCCAATTGTGTCATTCCAACAGACTACAAAAGGCTAAGCCTATGGTGGCATATGGTGGACACTGACTAGTACCTGACATGTGACCTTTAAAAGAACATTACCTTGTGGCCTTACACACAGTGGCAGATCTGCCTCCGACATATAAATTGTATCCAGCATGAAGATGGCTTCAACATATCATCAGCCATTGTCAAATATTGGGTACCAAGCAGGATGGGATGGTTTTGTGAATGATCTTGTACCTAAAGTCAGTTTGAGTTGAATACTCCCCAGGAAGCTGAGAATGTAATTTGATTGCCAACTGATGTAACGACCAAAGTGATAGAGTATGTCCTTGATTCTCCCTTCACTATTTTTCGGTTGTGTGGTATTAAATTAAAAAATCTGTAAAAATAAAACAAAGGCTGTACAAGGGGACCAGGGACATTTATACCCACTCTATCTCCCATATATCATATGCCCTTTGTGAAACCAACAACAATTCCTAAAGCCTGGTTCGGTGTATGAAGTTAAACATTTAAGACATGGAGCCCTTGTCATAAGTTCAAGATTTAGGAGGTCCCTAGATTCACTATTGGGGAAGACTGCAAGCACCCCATGAGGCCTCTTAGTTTCGAGTACTACTGGTATATTTCAGTGTCAGCTGTCCGGCGTGTAATAACTGCTGTATAAACTATTCTGAACCAGGGTTTCCGGTGTGAAGGACTCAGTGATGTCTCCCAACACATCCTTGTCCTGCTCCGTGAACTCGTCATACATACTGGAATGTGTGACCTCCCCCGACGCAGCATCAGTCTGGCCACTGTATAATGATTCGTATTGCACATGCTGAGGTGAGCCCTCATTGGCCAACCAGATCTCCCTCCGCTCTGATTGGCTGGAGGTAAGGGCTGCCTCATCCTGATTGGTTGTTGGTGCTCTGACATCGGACACACCAGGTTGTGATGGTGAATGTGTCATGCTGAGATCCTGACCCCTGGATGTGTCAGTGCCTGAGTCCCCCAGGGCGTCATCCCTGGAGCTGGCCTGGTGCTGTGTGGCACTGTAGGCCCTCCATCCTGATGAGTCTGTTGTTGGAAGGTCACCACTGTCAGTCTGTGCAGCCAACCATCCTGGACTTCCACCGGACTCCCCATCATCTGATGTGGGTCTTCTTTCTACGCTTCCCTGAAACCAACAAGAATTGTTTGTTTGGTTGCCTGTAAGTAGTCTGGAGCAGACAAACCAGAGTGGACTAGACAAACCAAAAACTGATCATATTTACACGATGCTTTTACTGCAACAGTCTCTGACTAACATCAACCACAAACAACTTCAAGGGCACAAAACACAGCAGCCAGAATAGTCACAAAAACAAGGACGTATGAGAACATCCCCCTTGTCTTGAAACCTTCCCATTGGCTACCAGGACCTACAAGAAATGACCTTAAACTAGTAGTTGCTGCTTTTAAATGCTATAATCGCTTGTCATGAGTTCAACCACGTGAACTCTGTTAACAAGACAAGATGCTGCTTTCTGTCCGAAACATCAAAACCAAACACCTGGACAAAGATCTTTCCATTATCCAGCTGCAACCACATGGAACAACCTTCTCATTGAGATCAAGTCTGCCAAAGGTTTCAAGAAACAACTTAAACTTAGCTTTCAACAACCAACTTACATTAAACGCATGATTCAAAGTTTTGTTGATTGTTGCCGAGGACAAGCAGCATTTTAATATACGCACAGGGCATATGTTGAGCTATATAAGTGATAAATTATCATCATTACTGTTGTTACTATTATACTATATGAACTGGGTACAGACTTCCTCACACAAGGCCAAACACACTTGTTTCTGTTCATTAAGCACCTACTTACACTGACACCCTGGAACTACAGACATCCTCACACAAGGCCAAACACACTTGTTTCTGTTTACACAGCATCTACTTACACTGACACCCTGGAACTACAGACATCCTCACACAAGGCCAAACACACTTGTTTCTGTTTACACAGCGTCTACTTTCACTGACACCCTGGAACTACAGACATCCTCACACAAGGCCAAACACACTTGTTTCTGTTTACACAGCGTCTACTTACACGGACAACCTGGAACTACAGATGTCTTCACACAAGGCCAAACATACTTGTTTCTGTTTACACAGTGTCAACTTACACTGACACCCTGGAACTACAGACGTCCTCAAACAAGGCTAAACACACTTGTTTCTGTTTACACAGCGTCTACTTACACTGACACCCTGGAACTACAGATGTCCTCACACAAGGCCAAATATACTTGTTTCTGTTCATGAAGCATCTACTTACACTGACACCCTGGAACTACAGACGTCCTCACACAAGGCCAAACACACTTTTTTCTGTTTACACAGCGTCTACTTACACTGACACCCTGGAACTACAGACGTCCTCACACAAGGCCAAACACACTTGTTTCTGTTTACACAGCGTCTACTTACACTGTCACCCTAGAACTACAGACGTCCTCACACAAGGCCAAAAACACTTGTTTCTGTTCATGAAGCATCTACTTACACTGACACCCTGGAATTACAGACGTCCTCACACAAGGCCAAACACACTTGTTTCTGTTTACACAGCGTCTACTTACACTGTCACCCTGGAACTACAGACGTCCTCACAAAAGGCCAAACACACTTGTTTCTGTTCATGAAGCATCTACTTACACTGACACCCTGGAACTACAGACGTCCTCACACGAGGCCAAACACACTTGTTTCTGTTTACACAGCGTCTTCTTACACTGACACCCTGCAACTACAGACGTCCTCACACAAGGCCAAACAAACTTGTTTCTGTTTACACAGCGTCTACTTACACTGTCACCCTAGAACTACAGACGTCCTCACACAAGGCCAAACACATTTGCTTCTGTTTACACAGCATCTACTTACACTGACAACATGGAACTACAGACATCATCACACAAGGCCAAACACACTTGTTTCTTTTCATGAAGCATCTACTTACACTGACACCCTGGAATTACACACGTCCTCACACAAGGCCAAACACACTTGTTTCTGTTCATGAAGCATCTACTTACACTGACACCCTGGAATTACAGACGTCCTCACACAAGGCCAAACACACTTGTTTCTGTTTACACAGCGTCTACTTACACTGTCACCCTGGAACTACAGACGTCCTCACAAAAGGCCAAACACACTTGTTTCTGTTCATGAAGCATCTACTTACACTGACACCCTAGAACCACCGACGTCCTCACACAAGGCCAAACACACTTGTTTCTTTTCACACAGCGTCTACTTACACTGACACCCTGCAACTACAGACGTCCTCACACAAGGCCAAACAAACTCGTTTCTGTTTACATAGCGTCTACTTACACTGTCACCCTAGAACTACAGACGTCCTCACACAAGGCCAAACACATTTGCTTCTGTTCATGAAGCATCTACTTACACTGACACCCTGGAACTACAGACGTCCTCACACAAGGCCAAACACACTTGCTTCTGTTCATGAAGCATCTACTTACACTGACACCCTGGAACTACAGACGTCCTCACACAAGGCCAAACACACTTGCTTCTGTTCATGAAGCATCTACTTACACTGACACCCTGCAACTACAGACATCCTCACACAAGGCCAAACACACTTGTTTCTGTTTACACAGCGTCTACTTACACTGTCACCCTGGAACTACAGACGTCCTCACAAAAGGCCAAACACACTTGCTTCTGTTCATGAAGCATCTACTTACACTGACACCCTAGAACCACCGACGTCCTCACACAAGGCCAAACACACTTGTTTCTTTTCACACAGCGTCTACTTACACTGACACCCTGCAACTACAGACGTCCTCACACAAGGCCAAAGAAACTTGTTTCTGTTTACACAGCGTCTACTTACACTGTCACCCTAGAACTACAGACGTCCTCACACAAGGCCAAACACATTTGCTTCTGTTCATGAAGCATCTACTTACACTGACACCCTGGAACTACAGACGTCCTCACACAAGGCCAAACACACTTGCTTCTGTTCATGAAGCATCTACTTACACTGACACCCTGGAACTACAGACATCCTCACACAAGGCCAAACACGCTTGCTTCTGTTCATGAAGCATCTACTTACACTGACACCCTGGAACTACAGACGTCCTCACACAAGGCCAAATACACTTGTTTCTGTTTGCACAGCGTCTACTTACACTGACACCCTGGAACTACAGACATCCTCACACAAGGCCAAACACACTTGTTTCTGTTTACACAGCGTCTACTTACACTGACACCCTGGAACTACAGACGTCCTCACACAAGGCCAAACACACTTGTTTCTGTTTACACAGCGTCTACTTACACTGTCACTCTAGAACTACAGACGTCCTCACACAAGGCCAAAAACACTTGTTTCTGTTCATGAAGCATCTACTTACACTGACACCCTGGAATTACAGACATCCTCACACAAGGCCAAACCCACTTGTTTCTGTTTACACAGCATCTACTTACACTGTCACCCTAGAACTACAGACATCCTCACACAAGGCCAAACACACTTGTTTCTGTTCATGAAGCATCTACTTACACTGACACCCTGCAACTACAGACATCCTCACACAAGGCCAAACACACTTGCTTCTGTTCATGAAGCATCTACTTACACTGACACCCTGCAACTACAGACATCCTCACACAAGGCCAAACCCACTTGTTTCTGTTTACACAGCATCTACTTACACTGTCACCCTAGAACTACAGACATCCTCACACAAGGCCAAACACACTTGTTTCTGTTCATGAAGCATCTACTTACACTGACACCCTGCAACTACAGACATCCTCACACAAGGCCAAACACACTTGCTTCTGTTCATGAAGCATCTACTTACACTGACACCCTGCAACTACAGACATCCTCACACAAGGCCAAACCCACTTGTTTCTGTTTACACAGCATCTACTTACACTGACACCCTGGAACTACAGACATCCTCACACAAGGCCAAACACACTTGTTTCTGTTTACACAGCATCTACTTACACTGTCACCCTAGAACTACAGATGTCCTCACACAAGGCCAGACACACTTGTTTCTGTTCATGAAGCATCTACTTACACTGTCACCCTAGAACTACAGACATCCTCACACAAGGCCAAACACACTTGTTTCTGTTTACACAGCATCTACTTACACTGTCACCCTAGAACTACAGATGTCCTCACACAAGGCCAGACACACTTGTTTCTGTTCATGAAGCATCTACTTACACTGACACCCTGCAACTACAGACATCCTCACACAAGGCCAAACACACTTGCTTCTGTTCATGAAGCATCTACTTACACTGACACCCTGCAACTACAGACATCCTCACACAAGGCCAAACACACTTGTTTCTGTTTACACAGCGTCTACTTACACTGACACCCTGGAACTACAGACATCCTCACACAAGGCCAAACACACTTGTTTCTGTTTACACAGCGTCTACTTACACTGTCACCCTAGAACTACAGACATCCTCACACAAGGCCAAACACACTTGCTTCTGTTCATGAAGCATCTACTTACAGTGACACCCTGCAACTACAGACATCCTCACACAAGGCCAAACCCACTTGTTTCTGTTTACACAGCATCTACTTACACTGTCACCCTGGAACTACAGACATCCTCACACAAGGCCAAACACACTTGTTTCTGTTTACACAGCATCTACTTACACTGTCACCCTAGAACTACAGATGTCCTCACACAAGGCCAAACACACTTGTTTCTGTTTACACAGCGTCTACTTACACTGTCACCCTGGAACTACAGACGTCCTCACACAAGGCCAAACACACTTGTTTTTGTTTACACAGCGTCTACTTACACTGACACCCTGGAACTACAGACGTCCTCACACAAGGCCAAACACACTTGTTTCTGTTTACACAGCGTCTACTTACACTGTCACTCTAGAACTACAGACGTCCTCACACAAGGCCAAAAACACTTGTTTCTGTTCATGAAGCATCTACTTACACTGACACCCTGGAATTACAGACATCCTCACACAAGGCCAAACCCACTTGTTTCTGTTTACACAGCATCTACTTACACTGTCACCCTAGAACTACAGACATCCTCACACAAGGCCAAACACACTTGTTTCTGTTCATGAAGCATCTACTTACACTGACACCCTGCAACTACAGACATCCTCACACAAGGCCAAACACACTTGCTTCTGTTCATGAAGCATCTACTTACACTGACACCCTGCAACTACAGACATCCTCACACAAGGCCAAACCCACTTGTTTCTGTTTACACAGCATCTACTTACACTGTCACCCTAGAACTACAGACATCCTCACACAAGGCCAAACACACTTGTTTCTGTTCATGAAGCATCTACTTACACTGACACCCTGCAACTACAGACATCCTCACACAAGGCCAAACACACTTGCTTCTGTTCATGAAGCATCTACTTACACTGACACCCTGGAACTACAGACGTCCTCACACAAGGCCAAACACACTTGTTTCTGTTTACACAGCGTCTACTTAAACTGTCACCCTAGAACTACAGACGTCCTCACACAAGGCCAAACACACTTGTTTCTGTTTACACAGGATCTACTTACACTGACAACATGGAACTACAGACATCCTCACACAAGGCCAAACACACTTGCTTCTGTTTACACTGCATCTACTTACACTGACACCCAGAACTACAGACGTCCTCACACAAGGCCAAACACACTTGTTTCTGTTCATGAAGCATCTACTTACACTGACACCCTGGAACTACAGACGTCCTCACACAAGGCCAAACACACTTGTTTCTGTTCATGAAGCATCTTCTTAAACTGACACCCTGGAACTACAGACGTCCTCACACAAGGCCAAACACACTTGTTTCTGTTTACACAGCGTCTACTTACACTGTCACCCTGGAACTACAGACGTCCTCACACAAGGCCAAACACACTTGCTTCTTTTCATGAAGCATCTACTTACACTGACACCCTGCAACTACAGACATCCTCACACAAGGCCAAACACACTTGTTTCTGTTTACACAGCGTCTACTTACACTGACACCCTGGAACTACAGACGTCCTCACACAAGGCCAAACACACTTGTTTCTGTTCATGAAGCATCTACTTACACTGACACCCTGGAACTACAGACGTCCTCACACAAGGCCAAACACACTTGCTTCTTTTCATGAAGCATCTACTTACACTGACACCCTGGAACTACAGACATCCTCACACAAGGCCAAACACACTTGTTTCTGGTTACACAGCGTCTACTTACACTTTCACCCTAGAACTACAGACGTCCTCACACAAGGCCAAACACACTTGTTTTGTTCATGAAGCATCTACTTACACTGACACCCTGGAACTACAGACGTCCTCACACAAGGCCAAACACACTTGTTTCTGTTTACACAGCATCTACTTACACTGACACCCTGCAACTACAGACGTCCTCACTCAAGGCCAAACACACTTGTTTCTGTTTACACTGCATCTACTTACACTGACACCATGGAACTACAGACATCCTCACACAAGGCCAAACACACTTGCTTCTGTTCATGAAGCATCTACTTACACTGACACCCTGGAACTACAGACGTCCACACACAAGGCCAAACACACTTGTTTCTGTTTACACAGCGTCTACTTACACTGACACCCTGGAACTACAGACGTCCTCACACAAGGCCAAACACACTTGCTTCTGTTCATGAAGCATCTACTTACACTGACACCCTGGAACAGGGCCGAAGCAATCTCCTGGTGTCTCTCCCCATCCTGGTTGTTACCAGCCTGAAAATATTTAGATATTGTAGAGTGTCTGAAATATGTATTTTTTAGTGTAAAAATATCATTTATACTAATCCTGACTCACCCAGCTTATCTCATGTCAATCGAAAAGGTATCGGAAACTCCTGTACATCTCCCCCAAACGTACCTTCACTCTCACATTTCGCTTACCCTTATGGTTGAAACACGTATACTGGAAGCGGGGATGGATGGGTGGGTGCTATAGTCTATGAGTCAGGATAAATATAAATGATATTTTTACAAAAAATAATAATACATAATTTGCCTTATCCTGACTCATACTAATTGCTTGAACCCCACAGCTGGTGGTGGGATCCACCATATGTGTGATTCAGATCATGATCTGTTCATTTAACCAATGATAACATCTTACTTCTTGTACATGAATCTGCAGTGGGGCACCACCTCCGTCCTTGTGAGATTAGGAGAAAATTAACCTGACTTTTATGAGTCTGTGCAGTTTTGGGTATCTTCAATTAGGTACTGTCAATTGTTGAACGACCACTAAGGGTCCGAATTGGTGAATCCCGGCAATATCTTCTGTGGTGAAGTCTTGAAGTAGTGGTTTGTAAAGACTGATCCGATCTCCAGAAACGCTGGCAAACAGTTTGGGATTTTTATCCAGCGACCTTCCGGGACTTGAATTAAATTCTTTTGTGTTAGGAAGTGGATCCAAAGAAACTAAGATCCTGAGTTGGTTGAAGATCAGATTTCTGATAATTGGCACAATAATTTCTGTGTGAGTTCATCAGTATGTTGATGTGCCTGAAAGTTGATGTTCAGGTAAAAGGTCCAACAAAGTCCTTTGTTGTGAAGCAAGATTACTGTTGGCTTGGTGATGTCTAAATGACAAATGGCAGCACTGCCCATTGGTAGTGACGGTCGTTCAAGTGAAAACGGTGGTACTTCCTGGACTCAGGATGGATTGGGATGTGTAGATAAGCATCTTGCAGATCTATGCTGGCTAGATAGTCGGCTTGCATTATCATCTGTCACAATTGAGGTACATGAAGTATCTTTTGTAGATAATACTTGTTGAAAGTCTTCATGTTGTAGATCTGGCTGAAGTTTTCGGTTAAATTTTTCTTGGATATCAAGAAAATCGGAGAATAGAAGCCTGGGATGAGGACATCCAGCAGTAGAACCTCTCCTGCTGTCTTGGTGAGAAGCGAATTGATTGCCTCTGTTAATTTGGGGAACAGTGCCTCCTAGTATTGTTCATGTGAAGGATTGAGGTTAAGAGGGGGTGCAGTAGGTACCAACAGACTGTAGCCTTTCTTAGAATGTTTGTGACAAATGGGTCGTTCAGTATGCCATCTGGTCCTTGGAATCCTGTAAGACTTTTTATTTATGCAAGGGATCTGACCGTTGAAGAGAGATGGGGAAACTAAAGGTTGGTGTAAGAGAGACTTCGTGTATAGGTCTGACCAGTTAGAGCTAGAGACCGACCCTTAGACAATGTGTAAGTCCGGCTGAAGCAGAACTGATTTCTTAAAAAATTGATTCCTGAAACTTCTGCTGATTAACCACAGATGACAGTAGAATACTACTGTTGTCAGATTGTGAGTTCATGAGGTGAGATAGCATCAATTCATAAAAAGAACGAGGAAGCCCAGGAAACCTCATCTAATTGTTGTTTCCTGTTGTGTGAGCATTTTGTCCTCGACTCTGTAGGTTTTACTCTTGAAGACAGATAATAAATTATAGTCTTTGCATAACTCTGGAGCCCGTGAGAATGGTGTCATGTCGTTTAAGGGAAACTTCTTAGGGTTGATACTAGGGGTTGGTAAAGTTGGTTGAGTCATTCAGCTGGCTGCAGAGTCAGAGATTCGCCAGAGATTCCATCAGCATCAGTGGAAGGTAGATCCTTTAAAGGAGAGGAGATGAGAAGACAACCAGCGATCCCTGTCAGCACCTCCTGGGCCCACTTGCACAAAGCGATCTTAGCGCTAAGATCATCGTAACTCCCATACTTTAGCATAGGCTTACAATAGTCTTAGCGCTAGGATCGTTTTGTGCAAGTTGGCCCTGGTCAGCGAAGATACGTGACGTGAAGTTATATCAGCACCTCCTGGTCGGCGTAGATAGAAGGTAATTCCTCATGACATGAGGATGTATCAGCACTCCTGGTCGGTGTAGATAGAAGGTATTTCCTCAAGATGTGAGGATGTATCAGCAACTCCTGCTCAGTGTAGATAGAGGGCATTTCCTCATGACGTGAGGATGTATCAGCTGATTCTGGTCAGTGTAGATAGAAGGTATTTTCCCCTTTACACAAGGATGTATCAGCACCTCCTGGTTGGCAAAGAAAGAAGGTATTTCCTCATGACATGAGGATGTATCAGCACCTCATGGTCGGTGTAGATCGAACATATTTCCTCATGACATGAGGATGTATCAGCACTCCTGGTCGGTGTAGATAGAAGGTAATTCCTCATGACATGAGGATGTATCAGCACCTCATGGTCGGTGTAGATCGAACATATTTCCTCATGACATGAGGATGTATCAGCACTCCTGGTCGGTGTAGATAGAAGGTAATTCCTCATGACATGAGGATGTATCAGCACCTACTGGTCGGTGTAGATAGAAGGTAATTCCTCATGACATGAGGATGTATCAGCACCTACTGGTCGGTGTAGATAGAAGGTATTTCCTCATGATGTGAGGATGTATCAGCAACTCCTGGTCGGCGTAGATAGAAGGTATTTCCTCATGACATGAGGATGTATCAGCACCTCTTGGTCAGTACAGATAGAAGGTATTTCCTCATGATGTGAGGATGTATCAACACTTCTTGGTCAGTACAGATAGAAGGTAATTCCTCATGACATGAGGATGTATCAGCACCTCTTGGTCAGTACAGATAGAAGGTAATTCCTCATGACATGAGGATGTATCAGCACCTGCTGGTCGGTGTAGATAGAAGGTAATTCCTCATGACATGAGGATGTATCAGCACCTACTGGTCGGTGTAGATAGAAGGTATTTCCTCATGATGTGAGGATGTATCAGCAACTCCTGGTCGGCGTAGATAGAAGGTATTTCCTCATGACATGAGGATGTATCAGCACCTCTTGGTCAGTACAGATAGAAGGTAATTCCTCATGACATGAGGATGTATCAGCACCTCTTGGTCAGTACAGATAGAAGGTATTTCCTCATGACATGAGGATGTATCAGCACCTACTGGTCGGTGTAGATAGAAGGTATTTCCTCATGATGTGAGGATGTATCAGCAACTCCTGGTCGGCGTAGATAGAAGGTATTTCCTCATGACATGAGGATGTATCAGCACCTCTTGGTCAGTACAGATAGAAGGTAATTCCTCATGACATGAGGATGTATCAGCACCTCTTGGTCAGTACAGATAGAAGGTATTTCCTCATGACATGAGGATGTATCAGCAACTCTTGGTCAGTACAGATAGAAGGTATTTCCTCATGACATGAGGATGTATCAGCAACTCTTGGTCAGTACAGATAGAAGGTAATTCCTCATGACATGAGGATGTATCAGCAACTCTTGGTCAGTACAGATAGAAGGTATTTCCTCATGATGTGAGGATGTATCAACACCTCTTGGTCAGTACAGATAGAAGGTATTTCCTCATGACATGAGGATGTATCAGCAACTCTTGGTCAGTACAGATAGAAGGTAATTACTCATGATGTGAGGATGTATCAACACCTCTTGGTCAGTACAGATAGAAGGTATTTCCTCATGACATGAGGATGTATCAGCAACTCTTGGTCAGTACAGATAGAAGGTAATTACTCATGATGTGAGGATGTATCAGCACCTCTTGGTCAGTACAGATAGAAGGTATTTCCTCATGACATGAGGATGTATCAGCAACTCTTGGTCAGTACAGATAGAAGGTAATTACTCATGATGTGAGGATGTATCAACACCTCTTGGTCAGTACAGATAGAAGGTATTTCCTCATGATGTGAGGATGTATCAACACCTCTTGGTCAGTACAGATAGAAGGTATTTCCTCATGATGTGAGGATGTATCAGCAACTCTTGGTCAGTACAGATAGAAGGTATTTCCTCATGACATGAGGATGTATCAGCAACTCTTGGTCAGTACAGATAGAAGGTATTTCCTCATGATGTGAGGATGTATCAGCACCTCTTGGTCAGTACAGAAAGAAGGTATTTCCTCATGATGTGAGGATGTATCAGCACCTCTTGGTCAGTACAGATAGAAGGTAATTCCTCATGACATGAGGATGTATCAGCAACTCTTGGTCAGTACAGATAGAAGGTATTTCCTCATGATGTGAGGATGTATCAACACCTCTTGGTCAGTACAGATAGAAGGTATTTCCTCATGACATGAGGATGTATCAGCAACTCTTGGTCAGTACAGATAGAAGGTAATTACTCATGATGTGAGGATGTATCAACACCTCTTGGTCAGTACAGATAGAAGGTATTTCCTCATGACATGAGGATGTATCAGCAACTCTTGGTCAGTACAGATAGAAGGTAATTACTCATGATGTGAGGATGTATCAGCACCTCTTGGTCAGTACAGATAGAAGGTATTTCCTCATGACATGAGGATGTATCAGCAACTCTTGGTCAGTACAGATAGAAGGTAATTACTCATGATGTGAGGATGTATCAACACCTCTTGGTCAGTACAGATAGAAGGTATTTCCTCATGATGTGAGGATGTATCAACACCTCTTGGTCAGTACAGATAGAAGGTATTTCCTCATGATGTGAGGATGTATCAGCAACTCTTGGTCAGTACAGATAGAAGGTATTTCCTCATGACATGAGGATGTATCAGCAACTCTTGGTCAGTACAGATAGAAGGTATTTCCTCATGATGTGAGGATGTATCAGCACCTCTTGGTCAGTACAGATAGAAGGTATTTCCTCATGATGTGAGGATGTATCAGCACCTCTTGGTCAGTACAGATAGAAGGTAATTCCTCATGACATGAGGATGTATCAGCAACTCT